GGAGGGATAACGAACAGAGGAAGAGGACACAGGGCGGAGGGGTGGAGGAGGGAGAAGGAGGAGGGAGGAGGAACAGAGGAAGAGGAGAGAAGTGGTGGTAGGGTGGATGGGAGGAGGCGGAGGGAAAACAGGCTGCAGGAGAGGGGGGGAGAAGAGGAAAATGGAGGGTTCTTCGCTAACTCCGGCCCTGTCGCGGCCTCGCCGCCGCGTCACCCCCCGTCGCGTGCGTCTCCGTCACTGGGCCGCCAAGCCATCACGACTGTCGGTGGGGGGAGGAAAGGAGGATGTGAATGAATGGAGGAGAAAAAGGAGGAGGGGGTGCTGCGGAGGAATGGAGGAGGCGGAGGGGAGGGTAAAGCGGATGAGGAGTGGGAAGAGGAACTTCGACGGCTTGTGTTCGCAAATTTCAGCCCGGGACAGTGACAAACCCATCCGACCTGAAACGCAGATTCGGCCATCGCCATTTTGAGCGGACCTGATAGAAGCCTGCTACATGTGGTCGGAGGATTGCAACGCATCGCCGATGCATCGGCGATGCATCGGTGATGCATCAGCGACGTCGGCGATGCATCGGCGACGTCGGCGCGAAGGAAAACGGGCTCCACGTCGAGCCGCATCGCCAATGCATCGGCGACGCGGCGCGATCCTCCGACCCCATCTGCTCGGAACCCAGCTGGAAGGCCCAGACTTGAGGGGGCGCCGCGGCGGAGGCATGAGACCTGACGAATGAGCAACTGAAAGCATCCCTGACCTCGCGATCAGCATTCCAGTAAGGGTCATGGAGCTCTTCATTGCCTTCCTCCTGTCATTCGGGTTCGGGTTCTCTTCTGCTCTCGATGCCTGACGGCCAGGGATCGGCAGCGCCGTCCCCGTGCGCCGTGCGCCCGGAGCCTGCAGGGCTCCGGCACGACGCGGATCGGCGGCGCCGAGGCTCGGCGGCGGGCCCGGGGGGGACAGCGAAAGAGAAGGGGCCCTGGGAGACCCAGATAAATACACACACAAAAATAAAAGCATTCCCCACATATTTTACCATATTCTCCGGGTTTTTGTCTTCCCCCCCACTTCCCACATCTTTTTACATATTTTCCTGGGAATCGACGATTCATTGTGTCTGTGTGTTCTTTCCCCTTCTGAGAGGGAGGGGCAGGGCCCCCCCCTCGGAGGGCGGCGGGGCCTCCCGGAGGGGCCCGCGCGCCCTCCGAGCAGCCGCCACCCGCCCTCGGAGAGAAGGGCCCCGGGAGCTGTCGCCGCGGGCGCGGGCTGCCGAGGAGCCCAGCCGCCTTCCGAGAAGGCCCGCCCCCCCCCCCTCCTCCTCCTCCTTTTCCTTTTCCTCCTCCTCCTCCTCCTCCTCCTCCTCCTCCTCCACCTCCTCCTCCTCCTCCTTCTCCCCCTCTTCCTCCTCCTTCTCCTCCTCCTCGTCCTCCTCCTCCTCCTCCTCCTCCTCCTCCTCCGCCGCTTTCCCTCCCGCGCTCGCCGCCGAAAGGTGCGCGCTCGCGCCGCGAATGTATGGGGCCACCTCAGAAAGTCGTCGATTCGAAGCTGGGCCGGATCGAGTTTGGAGGAGTCCGTGTCGAGCCGGATCGCCCGAATCGAAGTGGGCCCTGGAGAGGAGGGGCAGCTTTTCAGACCTGTCAGCGTTGCGACAAGTCCGCTGAATCAGGATGCCAGGGCCTTGAAGGCCACGTCGAGGCTTTCGAGCGGGGTACGGCCAGCGAGAGTGGCCAAGAATAGGCCGAAGGGGCAAGGATGCCAGGGTACCCTTGGGAAGGCTGCCCATCCTCATTACGCGGGTTGACTGCACTCGAGGCCTCCTAGAATGGGGTCGGAGTAGATGGGGTCGGAGGATCGCGTCGCATCGCCAGTACATCGCCGATGTATCGGCGATGCATCGGCGATGCATCGGCGACGTCGGCGATGCATCGGCAACGTCGGCGTGGAGGAAACCGGACCCCTCATCGAGCCACATCGCCGAGCCCCATCGCCGATGCATCGGCGATGCGGCGCGATCATCCGATCCCATCTGCTCCGACCCTATCTAGGAGGCCCTAGAGGGAAGCGCCCTAAGGACCCCCCAAATTCGAACTATGCAAATCAGCCTGGATCCTTCGGGTTCTCCCCCTCCTGCTCCTCCTGGTCCTCCTCCTCCTCCTCCTCCGCCTCCTCCGCCTCCTCCTCCTCCTCCTCCTCCTCCTCTTCCTCCTCCTCCTGCTCCTCCTGGTCCTCCTCTCCTGCTCCTGCTCCTCCTGGTCCTCCTCCTCCTGCTCCTCCTAGTCCTGCTCTCCTCCTCCTCCTCCTCCTCCTCCTCCGCCACCTCTCCCCCTCCTCCTCCTTCTCCGCCTCCTCCTCCTCCGCCTCCTCCGCCTCCTCCTCCTCCCCCCAGCGGGCGTGAGGCCCCAGGCGGGCGCGAGGCCCGCCGCGGGGCCCGGAGGCGGCCATGCGGCGGCGGGCGCGGAGGCGCCTGGACCAGCTCGCCCACCCAGGGCCTCCTGGCCGAGCTCACCTTGGGGGCGCCGCCGTCGTCCACGGGCGCCGTCGCCGCGCCCCCCGCGCGCGCGGGGACGTCGTCGACGACGTCGTCGTCGCCGCGGTCGTCGGCGGTGGGCGTCGTCGACGTCGTCGCAGCAGCTCGGAGCAGCTGGGCACTCGCGGCGGCGTCGCACCGCATAGGAAAAGGGGCGGGGGAGGGGGGCATGGAAGGAAGGGGGGATGAGGGGGAGGAGGATGAGAAGAGGGGAGGGGAATCCCCCCTCCTTCCGCCCTCCCCGACCCTTTTTCGTCTCCTCGTCCTCGGCATCCTCGTCGTCTCGTCGTCGCCGTTGGCCTTCTCCTCCTCCTCTTCCTCCTCCTCCTCCTCCTCCTGCTGATCCTCTTTTTCTTCTTGTTGATTATCCTCCTGCTACTCACGCTTGTCGTTCGCCTCCTCCGCCTCAGCGTCACGATATTCACCTTAAAAACATATAGTTGCCCCAGGGATTCTCATGGTTGACGTCCCAGACAGCGGCAAGACTTAGGATTGCCAGGGCGCAACAGTCACGTTGATGCGAGGCGCCGGAGTCCCAGAAACGGTGTTCTAGCACGGTTCAGGATCGTCAGGACGGACCAGTGACGTTGATTCGCGACGTTGAAGTCCCAGGATTTCTGTTTTGGCACGGTGAATGACTGTCAGACGCTTGTCTTCCAACGGCGCACTTCCCGAAGTGGAAACAATTCCTCGTGGGGGCATGTGAAGAGTGAACTTGCAGGCATGGTGTGCTACAACATCCTTCATGCACTGGTCCTCGTCCTCCTCTTTCTCCTTCTCCTCTTCCTTATTCTCCTTCCTCTCTTACACCACCTCTAAATCGCCTTCCTCATACTGCTCATGTTGTTCCAAGTCCACTTCCTGCACCTCCGTGCGCGCGCATGCACGCACGCACGCACGCACGAACGCACGCTCGCAACGAACGCGCGCACGCACGCACACACGCACGCAAATGCGCACGCACGCACGCACGCACGCACCCACCCAACCGCGCACCCACGCACCCACGCACCCAACCGCACAAACCCACACACCAACACACCCACGCATCCACATCCGCACACACACACACACACCCATAATTACACCCCGCACCCACACACCCACACCCACACCCACATCCACACACACAAACACACTTCGAGGGTCGCAACCGCGCGCGCAGCGGCGCGGTGTAAGACAGGTCGAGCGAAGGCGAGACGTGCTCGGGCCGGCCCCGATCACGCGGCGTGGAGATCCTGGATTCACCCGTCGGGGATCGACAACATCACTCGCGAAGGGGCAGTCGCGCAGGGAGCAGCGGGGGAGAGGGGGAACATGGGAGAACATCGCAGAAGAGCAGAGGCACACACGTACACACGCACGCACGCACGCACGCACTTACACACGCACGCGTTAACACACACACACACGCACACACACGCACCCACACACACACACACATACGCACACACACGCACACACACACGAACACACACACACACGAACACACGAACACACACGAACACACACGAACACACACGAACACACACACACACACACGCACGCACGCACGCACGCACACACACACGAACACACACACACACTCACAAAAGGCGGCTGGGGGCCTAAACTGGATGAGCCCCGAGATAATCGGTCAAGGCAGGGATGAAGCCCCTCCAGGGGTCCATCTGGTGCAGTTGTTTTCCCCGGACCTGATTACTATCACCACTGAGCCGAGCGTCCAAAAGGACGCGCGGGCAGACGAGCGCGCCTAGGGGGGAAGAGGACGACGAGGAGTGAGCTACACCAGGGACCAGCCTCAAATCGAGGACAGGCAAAAACGTCCGAAACTGACCTGCTGCCTGTCGCAGGCGCTGGCCAGAGCGGACAAATCTTGCGCCCCCTGCGGCAACCAGAAACTAACAGACCCGAGGGCGGGGATTAGGACAGTTAGGAGGAGGACGAAAAGGAACCGAAAACGGAAACGGCCCCTGCGGCTGAAAAAAGGCAGGAGACCTTCCCGAACCCAGAACCTCAAATTGTTCCACCACCTTCCTGCTCGCAGGTACCAGCGATGGGCCAACTCAGAACCCCAGCTGGCTTCAACGCGCACGCGCACGTGCACACGCTTTATTGTAAGGCGTCGCGGCACCGCGCGCAGCGACGGGGCGTAGAAAGTCGAGCGCAAGCGTTGGAGCGCGCGCGTTTGCGCCCGGCCGAAGCTCGCAGAGACAGCTTAGGGTCTCGCAGCCGATAGTAGCCATAACCATCCAGGCCAGGAAAGCGGGGAAGGGCGATGAGTGGACGAAACTACGGCGAGGGTAGATGGTGACTTTGATCAACCGGGACTGGACACACGAACGCGCAAACACACACACACACACGCACACACACACACACACACGCACGCACACACACATGCACACGCAAACACGAACACACACACACACACACTAACACACTCACACGAGCACGCGCACGCGCACACGCACACGCACGCGCACACGCACACGCACACCACGCACACGCACACGCACACGCACATGCACACGCACACGCACACGAACAGACACACACACACACACACACGTACACACGCACACACGCAGACACGCAGACACGCACACACATGCACACGCACACACGCACTCATGCACGCACGCACGCAAAGGCACACACGCACGCATGCACGCACACGCACACGCACACTCACACACGCACGCATCCACACATCCACACACACACGCAAACACGCACATACGCACACGCGCACACACGCACGCACGCACCACGCACACATGCACACACGCACGCACGCACACGCGCACGCACAAGCACGCACGCACAAGCACACGTACATGCACACACACACGCACTTACGCACGCATGCGCACACAGGCACACACGCGCGCACGCCCGCTCACGCACACGCGCGGGCACACACGCACACGCGTATGCACACGCACACACGAACACACGAACACACGAACACACGGACACACGAGCACACGCACACGCAGGCATGCAGACACGCAGACACTGAAACACACACAAACAGACACACACAGAGACTCCAAGCGGTGTGTGCCGTGATGTGCTGTGATGCACAATGTTGTGCTGTGATGTGTTGTGTTGTGCTGTGCTTGTGTTGTGGGGCACATTCGCACACGCACTGACTCCCGTGCCGTGCTGCGCTGTGATGCGTGTGTGCACGTGTGCCCACAGCCGTTTGTGAAGTTTGGCCCCCCCTGTTTTTTCATCCCCTCCCACTGTCGTTCTCTGGGGGTCGTGGTCGTTCGCCGTCGTGTCCACTGGCAATCCCATGCACGCGCACCGAGGCGGGTGGGTTGAGCGGTGTGGAGGTGCGCTGTGCGGCACCGATCCGTACTGGGCCCCACGGTCATGTTCAAAGCGACGGCATGGCCGTTGACTGCGGTTTCAATCCGCATGGACGGTGTACCCCTCCAGTGGGCCAGCGGACCACTTCAATGGCTATGGAATGCGCGTGCCGTGCGTTGCAACGCACTGGAGGCTAACTGCCGTCCTTTGGATTGCGCGTGCCGCGCGATGCATCACACTGGGAGCTAACAGCTGGACGCGTCAGCTTGCGCCGCGTCGGCGGCTCCGCTCACGCGTTATAGTTTCGCATTGGGCTCTCGGGAGTCCTTCTCTGCTCACCCTGGCGCTGTTCGTAGGCCTGCCCAACCCGCAAGCCTCCAGTAGTTGTAGACGAGCGCGTTCCACTACTTGCAAAGTGACTACTCGCAAATGGCCTGGATCCGCTGGGGGGGGCTCAACGAGAAATTATATTGAAGCAGACGTGTGCTTTTCGGACGTCTGCGAGTAGAAGCTTTGCTATTAGTGGAGCGCGCCTGGTGAGGTTTGCGCAACGCGGCCCAGCTCGGGCGCGATGGCACGGCTGTGGCCGCCAGCTTGTTTCAGCATGGCCGGCGCGCCCTCCCTGCACGAGGTTGGTCTCGGCCTGCACGAAAGGTGCCGCCGGGTTGCTTCTCAGACCTTGTCCCTCCCCCTTTCCTCCCCCCCTCCCCTGGAAGTGGCGCGCACGAACGCGCGCGCCCTGGTTCAAGGCGCGCGTTCTCTCGCCCACCCGCGCCCCCACATGCTCATGCGAGCCCTTGTGCGCGATCGCGCGGTGCAGGTGTTGAATCGTCGCACCGCCTGGAACGGTCTAGTCCACCCTCCAATGCCGATAACGTCAACCACCGAAAGTTGCACACGCGAGCCGGTCAAAGGATGTCGTCTGGCGCTGTGGCAGGACCTCGACGTATATTTTCGCCAGTCGCGCGTGCGTCGGTGTGCCCAGGGCTGGAGAGGGGCTGGTCCTTGTGGATGGGAACACGCAGAGAAGGGCGGGGTGTCGGTGGTATTTTGGGTTGGCTGCACAGAAGACCGTGTCCAACCCGCGCACCTCCCCATTGTCCGCAGCTGCCCGCATGACTTACGTCGGCGCGCGGCCTGGGCGGAGACGGCGCGGCGATGCGAGGTCCCCGTGTGTGGCGGACAACGACAACAATCATTTTACCATCATGCGCCATGCTTCCACATGTCACACGCATCCTTCTCGATGCCACACCCCACCATGGGGGATTGTTCAGGCATGCGGGGTCCGACACTCCCACACTCAGATCTCCCGCCCAAGAAAGCCGTCGCCACCACCTCTCCCGAGGAACTTCGACATCCACGGCTCAGACGGCACATCGCCATCGCAGTCGCCTTGCGCGCACCCCGCATCCCGGAGGCGGAGGAAGAGGACGAGGACGGGAGGGAAGATGAGGGAGAGGAAGAGGGAGAGGAGGAGGATGGAGGAGGAGGAGGAGGAGGGGGAGGAAGGAGGAGTAGTTGTAGTAGCAGTATCTCCGAGGACGAGGCGGTTCTACGCCACCATCCTGCGGCCTCGGCGCGTGACCCTGAACGTTCACGCCCCCAGGCGCTGCAACTCCCATGCTCGTATCCTCCACCTGCCCCATCCACACCCT